TACAATAATCATACCCAAATATTTAAAAAACATGTACGTTATGTTGATTTCCTTCGTGCGTAATGTGAGAATTTTCGACGCCCGTTCTGGTGTATTATTTCATTTCTTTGTATGTAAAAGTTGTCACAGTCCTTACTAGAATTTTTTTTGGTGTAAAATCCACTCACATAATTACTTTTTAGGATGATTTTGAAACTTTAAAGGCTTGAACTTGCTACAAGTTAAATGGGGCAAATACTCGGTATGTAATAGCGATGCTATAGCAGCATTTTGCTGACATTCCCCATATATCAATACCGAATTAATTAATTTATTACTACTGCAAATATGGGCCAACTATTTTTTTCGAGCGGCATGGTGTCGTGGGTTACTGGTATAAGACAAAAAGGAAACAAATGGAAACGTGTGATGTGATGAATAGGAATTGACTATAATTTCAAACGATTGCATTTGAATTATTTCAGATTTTCCGTTGCTTTTGTTGTTGTTCGGTTAAAACACCCTGTACCAGGACATCTTTTGAAGTGCTACATTTATTTATTGTACATATTATAATTGTAAGTGTAATATATTTTGAAATTATTAATATGTCCATATATGATAATAATTTTGATGTATCTCTTTGACTGAAAAAAATCCTTCAAAGTGGAGGAAAATCCTTAGACAAGCAGAACGATGTGGTTGTGACGATTTCGGTCAGCCACGTCATTGAAAAGGTGCCTCATAATACTTTGAATAATTGAAGTATTTCCCCACCCATTTAGTAGTTACTTATTAAAGATTACTATAAATCAAAGAATAATAAAAATGTTTAGTTTGGGTATGTTGTAAAAACCCACTGTGGATTTTCGTCGATTGAAATTCTAGGTACTTCAATATTCCTTGAAATAACAAGTCCATTTTTGCTTGAAAATGTATCAAGCCAAAAATATTCAAAATATATTTCTTTAAATCAAAAAGGTCAAAATAATTTTATTAGGCAGCCTCCTTACGAATGAAATTCATAAATATGAATAGAACAAATTTGTATATAAAATAACGTATGTGATGGAATGAAGAATAACAAATCTACTTTATTTATCCAGTTGGGAAAACATAAGATTAATAAAATTCAGGACAAACACGTTCCTTATTATAACCAGTATTCTTTGCACTTGGTAAAAAAGTAAGACATATCCTCTATTGTTTATTTGAAAAAATGTGTCAAAATTAAAAGCCAAATTTGTATATGTCTGGGAAAAATAAATTCCTTTTTATTGGCAACCAAAAGTATGTTTATATTAGTAGTAATATTTTTGCTTCTGGAATATCTTATGGCACACTCGGTTCAATATTTGTTGAGATAGAATTCCAAAAAAAAAGAATAAGCCATTAAAGTTCTGTTATTTGAACTACTGTAACAATTTACCGCAGCATGAGCGTACCTTGAAATTTTCCGCCAATGTCTTTCTAGATCGGGTGCCAATTTACCGTGGTAACAAATATCGTATGGACTATATATCACTCAATCTTTAATAAAAAATGTTATATAATAACTATAAGAAACAAATGAATCCACAATCTAGTACTTTGTAGTCTAAATCGATACAGTTGAATGAAATATATTGACTTTAATTATGAAACCTCGTTAATTTTGCTTTTTATTAACTCCACAGAGATTATTTGAGAGGTGTGTCTATTTAATTTGGATTTGGACAGACATCAATGTACCCTGAATATTTGAAATATATTTTTTATATTTTTACTACTAAATCGTCTCCGTATATTCCTTACACCGGATGATCTCGAAGATTTAATTTAACAATTATGATCTTTATCGTAAAAAGAATACTTGGAATTTAAGATTACCGTACAATTATATTTGAACTGTTGATATGACTAAATTGTCCAGTACGCGAAATATGAGATGTTTTCCTAGCGCCCACATTTTTGGAGACGCAGACGTTGCGTTTCATACTTACCTACAAAGTGGCCACATGATTCACGTGCAAATTGTTGAAAAGTGAACAGTAGGATATACATATTTAATGTATTTCGAAACGTTCGTCATCAATTTATGCGTTTGTATAATGAGGCTATTAAATGGTTACGCAGGTAATGTTACCTTGAAAATCTACAGATCTATAAGCGTTGGTAATCGCTAATACTAATAACACAGACTGTACTCGTTAAAATTGAATTAGAACGTCTTCGTATCCGTAGTAATATAATTTTAATTGTTGTCTCCATTGTTTCGATAAAAGTTAAGAGGAAGTAGTTACCTATATGAAGCTTTATTGGAAATTACATGAATAAAGAAGAATGCAAATGTTATTTTTGCGGTCTACGGTGTTTCGGTGAAAATGGATTTTTTTTTCACCGGAAGCTGTTTACCTTTCTGCGCAGACTGAAATTTTTTTTGGGAACAAACATTTTATAAAAGTGAATATCCTACAATTCTTTTCCTGTTTTTCTAAATTCAAAATCTCCATATTATTTGTAGATTATCACAGACACACAAAAAAAGAAAAGTTATCTGTACTTTTCATGCGACATATGTTATCTGTAGTATTTTTGCATCCTGATCACGAATCCGGTGTCAGAATTGAGCTATCACATCACAGGAATTTCCTAATTTCAAGAAACAGGTAAAAAACAGCAAAAATTCATGAAAAAGTGCTAGGAAAATTACAATTTTTTTTTTATATTCAAATGTTTTTTTATACAGGGATGGCCAGAAGTACGGAATAAAATTCATATCTTTTGAATGAGTTAATTTTTTTGAAACGCTGAAACACGTTAACTGATTTTGATTTTTTCCCATCTTTCGGTTATATAATAATTAATTTTTCTTCAACCCCCCGCTACCCCTACTTTTTTTTCAAACGGAAACATAAGGCATGAGGGGGCTCGTTGAAAAGCTTATAGAAAACCGAATCCAGCCATACCAAATAAACAAGTTTTATTTTTTCAATAAGAAGTTTTTTTTTCATATACAAATTGAAACAACTAGATAATTTACAAAAATATACTCAATGTCACAAATGCTGAAAATGTCCTCAATTCACTATTTGGCATTCTCCAAGACGATAATAAAAGCTGTCCACAGCATTCTGAATGACTTCAGCTGGTAAATTATGCATCTCCGCCCTAATCTTGTTCTTTAAATTCTCAATATTATCCGGTCTGTCCTGGTAGACTCTTTCTTTCAAATATCCCCAAAGAAAATAATCCAGGGGTGTTAAGTCGGGGGATCTTGGCGGCCATTCAACTGTACCCCGTCTACCAATCCAGCGATTTGGAAACATTTCATCTAAGTATCTTCGAACATCAATACCAAAATGTGGGGGAGCGCCATCTTGTTGGAACCAAATTCTTTCATTCGGTATATCTGGATCAATTTCATGAGGGAAAATCACAGCTAGAGCAGGTATCAGGTCAAATGTTAGGAAATCCAGGTAGCGTGCGGCAGTAAGATTTTCTTCAAAAAAGAATGGGCCCAAGATTCTGTTGTTGATGATACCTGCCCATACATTAACTTTTTGTGGATGCTGCGTATGCGATTCGCATGTCCAGTGTGGATTTTCCTGGGACCAAAAGCGATAGTTGTGCCTGTTAACCACTCCATTTAAATAAAACGTAGCTTCATCCGAAAAAAGTACGTCTCGTTGAAAACCATTATTGTCGTCACACCGTCTCATCATTTCCTCACAAAATTGTAATCGCCTATCATAATCGTCTTCCAAAAGCTCTTGGACAAGACATACCTTATAGGGGTGGTATTTCTCTTGTTTCAGAAACATTCGAATTGCAGTTCGAGAAGCATCGTGATTGCGGGCCAATGAAACAGTTGAAGTATGAGGATTTTCAACAAGTTCTAATGCAATGTCTAATTTCTTTTCTTCATTCAAAGCACGTGCCCGTCCAGTTTTGGGCAAAGTCTGTACTGTACCGTGTTCCTCAAATTTGTGAAATATTTTACTAACTGTCCCTTGCGAGATTTGGTTTTCGGGATATTTCGCATTAAATAAATCGCGCACTTCAGCCTGACTTCTTATTTTGTCTCCACATCCAAGCAATATCAAAATTTCGATGCGTTGCCTTTCCGACAATACCATTGCAATTCAGTAAATAAATTGATTTTGACACAATAGTAACGTTTCGAACTCCAATTTACAACTAAAGCGAAAAATTAACCAGAAAGCCTGGCAAGTACGTGGTGCCAAAAAACCGTAACATAAAAAATATATCTTTATTGCGTTAGCAGTGATAGGTACAGTTCCAAATTCTTTATTTTATTCTGTGTAAATTCATGGAGGATAACACTGAAGATAATTAAATTTTATTTCACTTGTTAAGTAGGTGTTATATACAACCCTAAAAACTTTGCTATTGAAAAAATAAAACTTTATTTGGTATGGCAGGATTCGGTTTTCTATAAGCTTTTCAACGAGCGTCCTCGTGGCTTATGTTTCCATTTGAAAAAAAAGTAGGGGTAGCTGGGGGTTAGGGGGTTGAAGAAAAATTAATTATTATATAACCGAAAGATGGGAAAAAATTTCGGCGTTTTAAAAAAATTAACTCATTCAAAATATATGAATTTTATTCCGTACTTCTGGCCATCCCGGTATAGTTACTAAAATCCCGTCCAACGTGAATCCGCGGTCAGAATTAATGGTTCTTTTTCTAACCTCAAAAAAAAACGGGTCAATTAAGGTAAGATATCACGAATTTTTAAACAATAACAGATTCGCGCCAAATTTGGGATACGGGGGTTTTCTGGGTCGCTGATCACGGACCCGAGGTCAATTTTGCAAAATTCAAGATGGCGGATCCAAGATGGCCGACCAAATTTTTGGTACTCTGTCTCAGCAAATATCGTACGGACTGTATTGTTTTATAAGCTCACTATTTTAATTCGTATCCAATAGATAATCTATTTTAAAGATATTAGGCTAATTCAAACAAATATAAATATTGCCCATCTAACTGAAAACCTTACAATTCTTTTTTACTTACAGAGACACAACATGTACGCTTTGCGCTACTGGTCTTGCGAGTTCATCTGCTTGGTGAACATAATATTGCAGCTCTACCTGATGAACAAATTCTTCGACGGAGAATTCCTGTCGTACGGTCTGCGCGTCATGAACTTCTCAGAGCAATCCCAGGAAGACCGGATCGACCCGATGGTCTACGTCTTTCCGAGAGTGACGAAGTGCATCTTCCACAAATATGGTGCCTCCGGAACCATCCAAAAACACGACAGCTTGTGCATCCTCCCTTTGAACATCGTCAACGAGAAGACGTATATCTTCATCTGGTTCTGGTTCATGATTTTAGCCACCATGTTGACAGTACTGGTTATATACAGAATAATAATCATAGCCTGTCCTACAGTCAGACCCAGGATTCTACACGCCAAACACAGGAGTGTTCCCATCGAAGTGTGCCGAGCGCTTTGCAGGAAAGTTGACTTAGGGGATTGGTGGATTCTGCTCATGTTGGGAACGAATATGGACCCCTTCATTTACAGGGAAGTCATTTCGGAGCTGACCAAGAAAATAGAAACCAATTATAACCATTGATGTTGCCGACGTCTAGTACAGTGTTAGGATGTTCGATCAGTACAAACTTTTCTGGAATCTGGGAGAGAGCTTTAAGTATTTAAGAATCCACTCATGGAATTGAGGTTTTCCTAATTCATTCCAACGTTGTTGACTTTAATAATACAGGAATTTCCTATTTAGTATTTAAAACAAAGTTAGTAGTTTGGGTTTGTGATATTTATAATGCAAGACATTATACGAAACTAAAGACCACGAATTAAGTAAGATTTACGTTAAGATAGATATTAGAAGGTATTCACGTGAACATCGAGACTCGTTAAAGTATTAGAAGTGAAGTTGGATCTAAGACAGACGCCAAATTATTATAAAAGTTTATATTTTAGAAAATATTTAACTCGTAAGTCTTATACGGAAGACGTAAGTATGGTGAAGCCGAGAGGTAGAGTTTATTTCAATTTTTTTACGAAATCCCTTATAAAACTGTTAATTTAAGGAATTAATTTATACTCTGTGATTCACTTGGTCTTGTGCCAAGTCCATGACAAATTGCCTTGAGGTTCGACTGTACAAAATTTTTATAGCAATTTTACATATCGAGGAATATTTTTACGATTTGCGATACTACTATTTTATAAGGACTTTAGAAATAAGAAATTTTATTATATGCAAGTTAGTTTTATTTTGTATATTAAAAACTTAATAAAATTTTTTATTATGTATCGGATAATATTTTATTTGCCTGGATTCATTGGAATCCCTGTTGAAGTAAATAATGTAAGTATTTACATTTAACATTTTACATTTTTATTGATTCATGTTATTACACAGTGTTTACACACGTCAGAAAAGAAACATTGATATTTTCAAATTACAACACAGTTACAATTACAGATACCTACATACATAATCCTAAAATTAGTAAAAATATGAATACAGATTAAAATTTACATTGTAACAGAATAAATAAAATCCGATAAAACAATATTAAAAACAAATACAATAGCTCGAAGCTCACAAATTATTAAAGTCACTGTCAAAAAACTGCTCAATTTAATTCACAAGTGCCTAATTTTAACACAGAAAATTTTAAATGCCAATTTTTATTTCATTTGATATGAAATGAATATACCTATTTCTTTTCTTGACATAACTCAGCTATTAAAAGACACATTTTACAAATTGCTTGATATTTTAATAATTGTAAGCTTTGATTTGTAGAAATTTTGTCAGTAATCCGGTTTACTATTAAGAATTTTGTTAGATGATAGCGCTGTGATTCAATCCAGATTTATGATTTCAGTATTGATGCAAATAGTCATAAAATATATATTTTAGTCAGTCTTTATTTATTTATATTAATATTTATTTATTTAATTTTAATTTACCCGATGGAAAGAACTCAATTACAGGATGAATATTACAGCTATAATAATTATAATATAATTAAAATCTAATGTTTCAGTTTAATAACTTTATCTCTATAATTTACAAATATTGTATATTTTTTTAAATGCTTTGTGTGNTTATTTATTTAATTGTAATTTACCCGATGGAAAGAACTCAATTACAGGATGAATATTACAGCTACAATAATTATAATATAATTAAAATCTAATGTTTCAGTTTAATAACTTTATCTCTATAATTTACAAATATTGTATATTTTTTTAAATGCTTTGTGTGTAAATATTTTAACAAAGTATCTACCTCTATTTTAGCATAAAATGCATTTAATTATTTAATAACACATATTGGTATGCAAAAGATCTACAGGGTGTGGCGTGTATAATCTATAAAAATTAACTACAGCCTCCTAACGATATTTGTAATACAGAAGTCTTGTACGAAAAAGTTCTATTTTTACGTTTTTTTTTTCGTAAATTAAAGTTCAGTTTGAATCAAAATATTTTCTCTGGAACGGTTCTGTCCGTGTGCTGTATGATGAGTTGTGAGTTGTAACCAGCCGCGCAAACAAAACGTCGTGAAAGATAGAAAGATACTTCTCAATTTTGGGGTAATTTTTCAATGCAAAAGTACAATTAAGAAAAATAGATATTGCAAGAGTTCGCAAACCAAATCACATCCTAAGCATATGTAGTTGCCAACTGCGTGCACTAAACAAACTCCACTAAAATAAGGAACAAATGAAATAAAACTTACCCTTTCTAGAGAAAATGTTGAAATTGATACCCATTAGCGTGGATACAGGTATGACATCGACGCACCCAGTCTATTCTATTGGCACATTGCCGTAAAAACTATTTGCAAAAACGCATTCGTTGATCACAATCCGGGGATAAAATCTGTTGAACTGGTTGCAGATGATAGGAGTGCAACAGCTGGCTCCTCAAGATGCTATGTACGGTACAAGATGAGGTTCTTACTTGCTGTGCGAGTCATCGAGACTAATTGTGGGGTCTTCGTCAAGATTTTTCAACACTGCATCTTCAACATTAAGGTTCACTTGCTGACCACGTCCTTCTCCTCGAGGAATAACACTTCCCGTATCTCGCAGCCGTTGAACGCACTGTAGGATTGTATTTGTACATGGGGGGTGGCCATCGTTCCCGGTACAACCTAGTCGCCACGAGTGCATTTTCTCTGGCTGCACCATACACTAACACCATATCGACACGTTTGGAAATAGTAAATGCATTGTTTTCTCGGTTCATTGTAAAACTTGTTTGTGCACAAACTAAAAAATTAGGCAAAGTAAGAAAATCTGGTTTCAAAAGTAATCGGAACACTATTCTTATTTTTTACTTCTTTATAAAAATTACACTGAAACTTTTTTCTGGAATCTTTCACTTTTTAACATTGATGGGTCGATGGACGATGCTTAATATTTAATAATTAAGTGAATAATGAATTTAATACAAATAAAAAAAATCCAGTTTTTAATAAATAACACAAGGTCGACCTTCATTTTCAACTTTTTCGTATAAGAGTTTTCTATTACAAATATCATCAGGAAGCTGTAGTTTACTTTTTATAGATTATATACGCCACATCCTGTATAAGTATGCTATCCAACAATTGTTCCTAAACAGTTTAATATTAAATCAGTATATATTTTACTGTTTTATATTATTTTCAACGTTAATGTTACAGTTGTGATAAGGCAAAAGATAGTATATTACATTAATAAATTGTTTCAAAAAATATTGAAGCTAAAAAAATCAATGAAATTGTTATCTATACAATGACAAAATATTTATAATTTATAACAATGTATGTATTTTTTTCTTTTTACCATAATTTTGAGAATATAATAAGATAAAACAACTTTTTTTCAAAAAATAGCTTCTTATAGACCTTAGCATATTATTATTTCATTCTAATAAATAAAACATATATATTACCATATTCTCAGAAATTCATGCTAATTTCAGGTATCTCACAATATACATTTTTAAAATGAATAATTTTACATCTTTGACTGACATTTTCTTTACAATCTCCTCAAACTAATGGACTGTTTTATATAACCAGTCAACTGGCACGTTATTTTTTCCAATTAATACATCAAGAGTTTTTTTTAATATATATTTTTAACACACATGATTCAGCATTTGATTAAACACAGATCTAGGTCTCTGCAACTTATGATTCACAAATCATTTTGAACTTCTTTTAATAGACTTTTTAAAAAGTAACATTATAATAACCCAGTGATTTCAATTACACAGTATTTTTGAAAGAATGGCTGAAATACCGAATTTGAATTTACATGTTCATGTAATGGTTTCAGTTTTTCAGAAGGAAGAGTTACAATGTTGAATTTTAATTTACCTGTTCATTATATATCATTTCAGTGTTCATAATACCAATGACATCAACAAAGAAACAAATCTTTAAGAATAGATGAGAGATTTTTGTTTATAATAACACTGACATTTGTAATTTCTCCTCTTGGAAGACAAATGCCGTTTTCTTGGCAGATGTCTGGAGCTTTGTGTGTATTTTTAAAGATGTAAGATTTGTGAAAACTAGCAATCCGCAATGTATCAAAAGGAAAAACATGTCCTGTTAGTTATAAAACGCGGGAAATATGCAAGGTTTGTCAGATCAAAAGATTTCAATATGGGAAATCTCACGTTTACATTACAATTTCGCTGATTGCACAGAAACAATTAGCCTTTGTTTGATGCAACCACTGATTTCTGGATTGGAGTCAACTTATTCCAGTCTAAAAATGTTTGGAAGGTACCAAAGTATTACAGCCTTACTTTTTCATTAATATCTGATAATCTATATAACGCATCTGGTCAATTTTAGTTCAAGGACGAAGACACGAATAAAAGTCATCCAAAAGTTAAATTTATGAATCATCTGTTAATTGGGCAAAATTGCCTTTTATCACTTTAAGTCGTCTTCCGAATGACATGTGTCAATTTGACAATGCGTTTAATATTCATGTCAATTTGTAAATTCAAAGAGAATGGACATATTTGTGCTCCAATTTAAATTAGCATATTAAATCTAAAGTAATCATACTGTTAGGGATATTCATAAAGCATGTGTAAATTTAAGAACAAGTTTAGGAAATTTGTTACCTTCGAAGAAGAAAATGAAAAAATTAAAAATATGTGAAGAGGAAATTTTGGTGTTGGGTGACTAAGAAATTATTATTAGTTATTTTTTCAAACATTGAAAAATATGAAACTGTGACCATATTAAAAAATATATTAAACATTTTATCTATGCTTCAAGTTCTTTATTTGTTCAACTATTTTCTTTTGTGTCACTGTTAATTTAATATTTAGGTAAGTATAAAATCCCAGATAAATAGTTTTTGATAGTTTAGTAGGTGTTTTGTAACACTACTTGTACATTTTCTATGTTACACTTTTCTTAAATATTTACTCGATAAAAGTGAATCGAAAATATAAATTTCAGAATCTTATTACGAGCACTTTCAGATAGTACTAAGTAACAGTTAATTGCTCGTACTCAAATCTCGTATTTAAGTTTTATTACTTATTTATTTATTTTAGACTTCGGAAAATCTGTTTAAAATTAGTCCGTTTGACTGATTTACTGCATACAACCCGCACTATCCCATACATTTTAGCTTTGTGTTGTAAAAATAAAAATAAGCTCATTTTGCAACTTGGTGGCAGGCGTAGATCCCCATTTCGTGCCACTGACTGGCTTGGGACTCACTGGTGTCCTGGAATTTACTGTTTGTCGTTTGGTGACTGACTGACGGATGAGGCGGGATGAGTTATCAGTCGTGTTGTGATTGTGACAAAAATTTTACTGCTTGGATTAGTTTGACGTTTCCAAAACAATGGAACGGGTGGGAACATAACCTTAGTTTCTCATGCTGTAAGTAAAGCGGTTCAGTAGTTGTGTTTCTCTTCTTTCTTGGGTTACCAGTTTATCATAACGCAGTGTGATTAATGTTTTTAACATATAATTTAAGAGATTTACTGTTGGAAATAAATCAATGTCGCAATAATTAATGTGAAGAAAAGTATAATCTTGAATTGTTTGAAATACTATAACAATTTTCATATTTTAGAAACACTTCCGAATTTAAATATGTATTTTGAAAATTTAAAAAATCTTCGCAAACAGAAAGAATGCAAGAATGTAGCACAAACATTTCTTGGTTAAAAGTGACTACAAAGTTGTGCAAAAGACAATTTTTTTCAATTAGATTCAATAAGATGACGAGATTTAAACTAGTAGGGGGTAGTATGAGCAACAAT